ACAAAGCCTCATGTGGAATCCTGGAATGGTATACAAAACCGATGGAAGAGAGGGGTAGGGGGACGCAGGACCCAAAGACATGCCCATTCATGTCTCCTTTCCTTTTGTGGGCTTGAGGCCCCTTCCTGGGACTCCAGGGCTCCATAGGGCTGAAGTCTGGCCTTGCTGACCCGATAGTTCAGAAGTTGATTCCGGGCCTGAGTTCCAGGGGCTATGGTCCACAAAGGGTCAAGGAGCTATGGAGAGGGGAAAGGCACCTGGAGCCGGGGTGTAAGAGCCAAAAGTGCTGCCAGGGAGCCACTGAGGTCATGCTTGTGTGGGTGAGGAAGAAGGATTCCAGCAAGGAAGGTGGAAATCAGAGTAACTCAGGTGTGAGAGGTGGGATCTGGGATGGGCCAGGAGTTCATGGTGCCGTGAGGGTGTGCTTGCTGCAGCCCAGGCAGGCAGATCCTCAGGCCCAGCTGCCTCTACTCATGGATCCTCCCATGTTCCACTCCCCAGAGCCTGCACACACCATGCCTCTGGTCTGGAGGCCCTTCTTTCCTCTTCCACCTGGCCTTGGCTGATGCCCACCCATGCCTTAAGACACTGCTTCTGTGCCACCTCGTGAGCCAGGCCTTTCTCTGACTTTGCCAAGCTGAGTCCATCTTGTATTCCTTTGTGCATCCCACAACGCCACAAGCACAACCCTTATGCTGGCATCTGGCCACATCTTTTGTTTATGGACTTACCTCCAACCCTAGCCCCCTGACCCATCTCATCAGATTCATGGTGGATAGGGAACAGGTGTCACTATCTCTGAAAGCTCCTGAGGCAGAGAACCTCTGAACATGAGTGTGGTCAACTCAGTGGCTGGGAATGTGTTGCCTCCAGCTCTACCCACTTGGCAAAGCCTGACCCAGACAGATGTTTGATGATGGAACAAGGAATCAGTGGAGCCTCAGGGAGCCCTTTGGAGGTTGCCTGGATGATATCCACATCATTCACCTTCACTCTGGGGCTGCCCTTGGATCAGCTCAGTTTTCTTCCTTCCTCCACCCCGTCAAGCTGACTCTGAGTCTGGCTCCCTGAGGTCAGCAGAGCCCCTCGACTTTTTCAGAGTCCAGCCTGCCTTAGACAAGATCTTGTTCACCTCCCACCAGCTATGGGTACAGAGTGTCCTCAATGGTGCCTTGAGATTCCACCTGCTCAGGCACTGCTCCTGGCCACTGCCTCCCAAGGAGCTCTTCCCACCATGATCACTGATGACTGCCTTGGGAAGCAACGCACTGGCGGGCAAAGAGTGGGGTCTTTGGAACCAACCCAGGTGTGAATCTTGTGGAGCTTTCTCTCTCTGTATCCCAAATTCCTCATCTGTAAAAATCCAGGTTCTAAGGTTCACTTTCAGAAAGCAGCTTCTGAGGTTTCATGTGCTTCACACATTGCACTTAGAACAGTGTCTGCCACACATGGCAAAGGCTTCTTTAAAGGCTCATTGAAGAATGAATGATTATCTGAGAGAAGGCGGTGCCATGTGAGGTGCCTGACACCTGCACACAGCAGATTCCATGTAAATGTAGGGATAATGGGCTTCGAATGGTAACCAACATTGTTCCCCAGAGTCTCCACCCCTTTGCCCTTTCTGGCATCCATCAGCCACACTTCCTGGGCTTGTTGCCCCCGGGGAGGAATGAGATGGAGCATAAAGTGAAAAATAGCATGTGGGTCTTTTTTTGGCTTTAGTTTCCAAAAGCCCTTGTGGAAAATGCCTTGCCCTGGGCAAGGACAAAAAAAAGGTAAGAAATGGAGGTTGGGCACAGTGGTTCATGCCTGTAATCCCAGCACTTTGGGAGGCCAAGGCGGGTGGATCATGTGAGGTCAGGAGATCGGGACCAGCCTGACCAATATGGTGAAAACCCATTTCTATTAAAAATATAAAATTAGCTGAGTGTGGTGGCATATGCCTGTGATCCTGGCTACTTGGGAGACTGAGGCAGGAGAATCGCTTTAACCTGGGAGGTGGAGGTTGCAGTGAACTGAGATCGCGCCATTGAACTCTAGCCTAGGCAACAAGAGTGAAATGCCAACTCAAAAAAAAAAGGGATTTGTGGGGAGTGGAGTTTCTCTCGGAGCCAGAGAAGATGGAGGCGACAGGGATGAGCGCAGAGCTAGGGGAGTCCATCTGGAGAGAGTGGGCTGGTGCTCCCTGGGGGAGGTGCTGCTTCCACACAGAGACCTGAAGGGCCTGGGGGAGCTGAGCTCAGTGGGGGCTGACTGCTGGAAGTTTCCAGTGAGTACACATCGCCATCAGCCAGGATCTAGTTGGGGATCTGCAAAGGACCAGAGTCCACACTGGGGGTGGAGTCTTTGCCTGACTTTCACCTAATCGCAGTGTCCACTGTCTGCCACCCCGAGGGGCCAGGCCAGCTGTCCTTTCTGCTAGCGTCTGTCCCCAAGGATGTCCTGTGAGGGCAGCCAGACCTGCCTGCAAGCATCCAGAAACGGAGGGCTTTGCTGTGCCCCAGGACCAAGCTTGTCCTCTTCCTACTCACCCCATGGCAACAGCCCTTTCCAAGTCTCAGGAATCCCAGGAGCCCAAGGGGAGGAGGTGTGGCAGTGCGGGGCTATAGTGGTCCCAGCCCTCATACAGGCGCCAGTCGGTCCAGTGGAGAGCCCACTTGAGGCAAGACCATCATGGAACACCAGCCTGTTGCCATCACATTTGTTCTTCTCTTCAGAAGATATTTTTTACCCCAAATCTACTCCAATATCAATGGCCACCCACTGGTCACCATTACAACTTAAAGAATAGCCCCCCAAAGCCCCCGATTTGTGGGTGATCGCCATGTACCCCAAAACTCCTTGCCTCTGTGTGGACAGCCCCCTTCCCATAACTGAAGTGGGATCCAGAGCTTCTGCCATCTTTGTCCGCATCCCCAGTACATGTTGCTGTTCGTTACTGTCCCTTAAAATGAAGCACCCAAACTGGCCATAGGGCCTCTGTCTCCTACGGGACTACTTCTCCAACGGGGTGCCTTTAGCCTTTTAGGAGGAACCACTGCCGGGTCCGTTGTTTGTCCTCACTGCCCCCCAAGTACTGTGCCCCAACAGGAGGACGTTACCGTGTCACCATGTAACTAAAACTGGACTTCAGACATTTTCTTGGATTGTCAGCAAAGCCAAAATAACGAGCTCCCTTGGCTGAGAGAGTGAGCAATTCTTTATCTGAGACAAGAAACCATTCCCATGAAAACTAGATGGAATTATTAATACAGGTTTTCATAAACATCTAGGAGACATTTCATTTTGTATATCTTTTTTGTTTTGTCTTTTTTTTGGCATCTGAGATTCTTCAGGCACTTTCACAGAGGGTTGTTCAGCTGCACAATGTCATCGTTTTAGTGGACACCTAGTACTTACTCCACATAGATCCCAACATTGAAAAGTCGTTTTCACTTATGTCTAATCAACCTACTGAAATGCCTTTCTGGTCACTGGTCAGGTGTGTTGGTGAGGAGGATACACTTGGTTCTTCTGTCCCCAAAGTAGCCATTTTAAGGAATCTGTATCCAGATACCCATAGTGGTAAGCTCCTGGCAGCTTAACCAAATGCTAAAAGGGGTTGCTGGGTGCAGCGAGAAATGCTTGAGAGGAGAAGGTGGGGGAAGCACCAGGCCGAGCACGAGGTGTGCTGTGCAGTGTGTCCCACGGTGGACAGCGGGCACCTGGGACTGGAATACCATGCTCCAGCAGACTGGGGAGGGAAATTTGGGAAATGCTGTTTTCCTTCCCCACGCTTCTCTGAAAGTCAGTGAGCAGAGTGTTCTATTTTTATACTAAGTTATCCATTACACAGAAGCCTCAGTACCCAACCGGCTAGAATTTCAACAGAGGCTCATCTGTTTATTTTGGAGGCATAAAGACTTCCTCTTCATCATCACCGACGGTAAGGGAGCATCAGTAAAGACTCATTTGTTTGACAACTGAGGTAAGGGAACATCAGTAAAGACTCCTTCATTTGACGCCTGGTTCCTGGGGCTCTCCTGGTATGGTGATGATTGGACCAGGATTTCCAGAAAGCCTAGCCAAGGCGCAGGCTGAGGAATAAAGATACGGATGTGAGCCATCTGAGAAAGCATATCCCATGCACATCCACTGCCTGTTTTCAACGTGCCGTGGAGGGGCTGGTATGAGGGTGCAGTGGCAAAAGTTCACTACAGCTGAGTGTAAACTAGAGAAGGTACCCCCACATTCTGATGGGTACAGTCTTTTATGTTTCCAAAAGCAGCCCTTGCATGTATTATCCTACTTGATCCTAACAGTGATAACACCCCTACACAGACAAGAAAACTGAGGCTTAACATGGGCACATGATTTGCTCTGAGACGATCAAACTCCAAACCCAGGTTTTCTGACTCCAAATCCAGAGTTTTTACCAAAGTGACACACAGTCTTCAGGGAACCAGGGAAAAACCTAGCATTGATTGAATACCTACTGTGTGTCTCACACGTCGTTTCTCCCATTTCATCCTCTTGCAGTCCTGCCCAGTAAGCATGAACTTGACCATTTTTCTGAAGAGGAAGCAAGTTCGGTTTTAAACCATTTGACCAACTACAAAGTTGGGGGGATTTGGGGTTAAAACCCAGTTATACTAGCTTGCAAAGGCAATTTTCTCTCCTCTCTGCTGATTTAGTCATTGTATATTAGATATGAGAAAACAAAGACCCAAGAGGTTAAGTGACTTTCGTGATCACACAGCTGGCTCAACTGAGAGCTGAAACCAAAATCTGACCCAGTACAACATGGGGGTCTGGGCCGGGTTATTGTCTAATCGTCACTTCCCTGAAATCAAACAGGACTATAATGAGGTACCTGCTTAGTGCTTCATAAGCAGCCCTAACATTTAGTAGAACAAAGTGTTGAAGGAGGTCTGGGACCTCAAAATGCCCGAAAGAATGGTATCAAAGCCAGCAGCCAGGGGCACAGCGAGGTCAGTTCTATATATAGATGTAATTGTTCACCAACTATTTCAACTAGCTTGTCTGAGCAGCCTTGGCTCTCTTTGGTCTGCTGTCTCCATGGGTGCCAGGAACTGTGCTGTGAATATCTGTGGATGCTGCATCATTAAGCCTATTGAGTATCTCACTGTCTGCTGATAGCCCAACTGTGACTCTGTTCAAACAAATAAAGGTACCTAATGGTTGCAACCTGAATTGTGGGCACATGGCCCAAGTGGTAATCAGAGATGGCCTATGTCACTGAAGCACAAGACCCACAAGAAGTGCAGAGAATAACAGAGATGCAGAGGCTATTCCCAGATTCCCACTGGAAGTCCAATTAGCAGTGACAAAAGGAGACACAGACGGAGGAGAGAGTTGTAGCAGATGGTCTCTATCCAGGAAGGAGCAGAAGAGATGCTGACGTCAAGAAAAGACGGGGGCTGTGACTCTACTGATGACTCTATTTCCTGTTCCGGGCTACTTGGCAGGGATTCTGGTAGGAAGAACATTTATTGTCAAACCTTAATAGGCTCTATGGTTCACAATTATTGAGCATCTGAAGACAGGAGAGGTTCTTGCAACTGGAGGAGGATATTTTGCCTGGCCACTGGTTGGGGCTCAGTTGCTGTTGTGAGGGGAGTTCTGATAGCATCTCTCAGCCCCTGCAAATTTTTATAATGGCTAATTAGTATCTTGCGGGTAGGGTGGGGAAAAAAGTGGATCTCTGAGCCTTTTGAGGGTCGAGGATTGGACGGCAGCTCTGCTGCACTGGGCCATATTGCAGTGAGAACAACAGAGCCCAAGAGAGGGAACTCATAATTAGGAAAGCACTTAGAATCACGGTGAACAGTTGTGCAGGTTGTGCACTGAACAACACTGCGGCATTATTTACTTCTTAATCTCTCTTTAGATTTTTATGGTGCACAACATGCAAATTATATGTGACAACCCTGGCAGTCTACACTAGCAAACCTTACACAGCCCCAAACTGTAAAGGTCAGAGAAGGGAACGGATTCTAGGTATAGCATATTGCAAATACTGGAATCCACCTTGACCGGCCCACTCAGGTGCCCTGGTATATTTGGAAGAAGATGGCTTCAGGTTTGTTTGAACTTAAAGTGCTATAGCACCAAATGCTATTACAATTTAGGATATAAGCAATTTTTGTATGAAATATATCATTCTCACTCTCAGTTCTCCAGAGTCAGAAGGAACTAAGAAAGGTTTACCTGGAGGTCAGCAGGAGCAGATGGATGAATGGGAGCCAGGGACAGAGAGAGGTGGGCTACCAAGCCTTGGTACAGCTGAGAGCAGCTCCAGTGTGGTCAGCAGGTTTCCCTGGTGGGGGCTGTGGCTGCCACAGTTTCAAATGATGCAATGGGAGTGACATCTCCAAGGAATGTGAAGGAGCTGGGGCGGGGGTCATTCAAGTTACAGGGACCTGATGAAATTCCCCTTTGGCTGTCCATGAGTGCCAATTGAAACTAGCTTGAAAATCTGCAGAAGCAGATTGGGAGCCTCACACACACTTGGGAAGGGGAGAGTTTGTGGAAGATAGGGGCTTGGCAGAGCTGAGCATTAGGGATCAATGGAACATGGCCTCATTTACACTCAATGGCTATCCAAGGCTAATGCCTGCTGGCTACACAGATATGTTCATTTCGCTGCAGAGACAGGGAGGGTGTCAATAAATGCTTCATCTTGTATCCCTCACATCTGCAGGCCACAGAGGAAAGGCTCTACACCCAGACACACAAGGAATAAAGCAGTGTGTGCCTCCCAGAGTGGGTGGAAAGACAATGATCAGACAATGAAATGCGGTCACAGAGCCAGCAGGAATGAAGCAACTGGTGTCCAGTAGAGAAGAGGGAGAGAAACCTCAAGGTCTTAATTTCACAGAGGTTCTTGACACAAGGTGGGATTCACTGCTGTCTAAAAAGGGGACTTGGGATCTTGTAGAGTTTTTTTCTGAAGCTACTTCCTCAGTGTGTTGTGTGGCCAAAATCAGGAAGAAAATAAAACCTACCTGTTAAGATATGTTGCACTCAGAAAACCTGGCTCAGCTGACGGGGTATCTATCACACTAAGTATGCTGACATTTTCCAGGATTCTTGAGAAGGTCCAAGTAGAAGTATCTAAATTCACCAAAATGATAGCATGCTGTAAGAGAAAAGACTAAACAAAAATATGACCTCCAAGGTAAGAGGATAGCTTGAGACCAGGCATTCAAGACCAGCCTGGGCAACCCTGTCTCTACAAAAACAAAAAACAAAAAAATTAGCCAGGCATGGTGGTGTGACCTATAGTCCCAGCTACCAGGGAGGCTGAGGTAGGAGGATTGCTTGAGTCAGGAGTTCAAGACTGCAGTGAGCCATGATCACACTGCTGCATTCCAGCCTAGGCAACAGAGTCAGACCCTGTCTCAGGAAAAAAAAAAAAAAAAAAAAAATCCTCTTCTGTCCAAAATAATACACGCTGAGAGGGAAAGTCATAAAGTTTGTAAGATTCAGCTGAAGGAAAAGACAGAAAGCATACTGTTTTAATGCAGCAAGAAGAAAACTTATGAAATTGTGATAACAGGTTGTGCCCTTAAGTTAAGAATTTCTAAAGTTCAATTTTCACAATAACCTACTTTAAGGACAGTAGTGCAAGTAGTTAGTTCTCAAAAAGTTCCACAGTGCCACTGCTGTCAACAAGACATTGTTTAAATAAATTGTTAGTCAGGGGTGTATGTCACAGATGATAAATTCCTCTTCAAAGGTTTTAATTCCCTCTTCCTCCAGTTCTTTGTTTCTCTAGTTTCTATAGTTACCCATGCTGTAAACAACCCTTCCTGCCCTGGCCATGCCCTGACATGTCCTGACAAGTCTAGACATGCCTTGCGTCATAATGGATAGCCTTCCCCTTCCTGCCTAGATAGCTGTGTTCAATTTCAAACATTAGCCAATCAGGTCAGTTTAGACTGTGCAGTCCAATCCCAGCCAATGGAGAAAGAACACAACAATAGGAATGAATTGCATTAGGGATTAAAACTGCTGCCCTACCCCCCTGCTCAGTGTTCTCTTGCAATCGTGACTGGCACAAGCTGCATCCTTCTGCAGAAGTAAATTTGCCTTGCTGAGAAAATTTCTGTTGAAGTGCTATTTCGTTTGCAGCACCAAAACTTATTTCTAACAAATTTGGGGGCCTGTCTGGGATTCCCTTTCTCCTCTGGGGAAGGGTCTGGTCCTCTCTCATGAGGAGGTGCACCTGCTGCCTCATTGTGGTGGCCTCAGGTTAAGGAATCGAGACTCACTCAGTGTGATGAATAAACCTGGACTCTCAGCAACACAGGAAGAAACAGACCAACAACTTGGAAAAAAGAAAAAAAAAAGGTAATCACATACTACAGCATCCAGGTAACTCTGTGCACAGACCAAAGTAAGAAACGTCGCAGGAGTGAGAAAGTATTTCCCTGATGGTTGGAACATCTCGGAGGTTGAAAGTTGAAAGTGTGTGAATAAGCACTACTGGTGTGTGGAGTGAGTGAGTCCAATCTGTGGTTCTGGGGTCATCTCATATGACTTATGGCAGCCTTTTGGGGGTCCTGTCAGGGGTTTATACTGACCCACCAATGTTAAAAGGGACACGACATTCCCTTCAGGGAAGCAGCCAGAGAGGAGGAAATGAAAGGAAAAGAGTGCAAGAAGCCTTCACTAGGGGGTGTTGAGGCTCTAGAGAAAAGGGAAGCAAGAAATCCCTAATACGGGAGATTGAGCCTCTAGAAGAAAGGAAAGGCGAGAAATCTCCAGTAGAGGTGATTGAGCCTCACACAAACCTCCAGTCGTAGGGAAGGCAAGAAATTTCCAGTAGGGGAAGTTGAGCCTCACCCCACAACCATCAAGATGAGAAATACCCCAAGTAAGACACGCAGTAAAAAGGATAAAGCTAACAGCAATGATATTCCCCTTGATAGTCCCCTAGGTCTCATGTTAAAGTATTGGAAAGATAATGAAAGGACTAAGCATAAGAAAAAGCAACAAATGTTAAAATATTGTTGTTTTATTTGGACCTAGGAACCAATTCCCAAACTCTCAGTTTTCTGGCCAAAATTTGCATCAAATGAGGATTGTATCTGTCAGCTTCTAATAGAACACGTTAATAACAAGGGTCCAGTTTCCCAAGAAGAGATAGATTATGCCTTGTGTTGGTGACAAGGACCTGTTCTTCTATACGCTCTAAAAGATAAGCATAAACCAGAGAATGTTTCCCCTAAGGAAACTGAAACTCTGAACTCCAAGTGATTTACGCCTTGGGACCTGCTAGATCACCTTCCCCCACCAAACACCCCTATCTTTCCTCCCCTCAAGAACTGCTGTCCCAGACCCTTCTCCTACCACCATTGTTCCCCCTCCTTATAACCCTGCCTCTTGGAAATTGTCCCTAGAGCCCACTCACTACCAGCCTAAGTACCCTTCCCTAAAGGGACTTCAATGTGAAACAGAGCAATGTAAAAGAAGATATTCAGAATTTCCCCCCCACCTACCTCAGGGGAATCAGCTCCAGCTCTCTTCTGCTTGAGGGAAGTGCCCATAGGAGGAGGCTTTGTAAATGTTCCTTTAACCATCTCAGAAGTATGAAACCTAAAAAGAGAGCTTAAGCTACTATTAGATGACGCTTATGGGGTAGCAAATCAAACTGACCAGTTTCTAGGACCACAGTTATATACCTGGGCTGAGCTAATGTTCATCCTAAGCATCCTCTTCTCAGGGGAAGAAAGAAGCACAATCCACAGAGCTGCTATGGTAGTCTGGGAATGTGAACATCCGCCTGGCCAAAATGTTCCTGCAGCAGATCGAAAATTCCCCCCACAAGACCCCCAGTGGGACAATAACAATGCACCCTGTCAAGAAAACATGCAAGACCTTAGGGAAATGATAATAAAAGGGATCAAAGAATCACTCCCTTGAACCCAGAATCTTACCAGAGCATTTGATATACACCAAGGGAAAGATGAAGGGCCTATAGAATTTTTAGACAGATTAAAGGACAAATGAGAAAGTATGCTCGTCTAGGTCTCAAGGATCCTCTTGGGCAGGGAATGTTAAAACTTAATTCTGTACTAACAGTTGGCCAGATATTTCAAAGAAATTACAAAAGATAGAAAATTGGAAAACCATCCCATGAGTGAACTTCTTTGGGAGGCTCAAAACGTGTATGTAAGAAGGGCTGAAGAAAAACAAAAGCAGAAGGCAAGAATTCTGCTGTTCACCATACAACAAAGTACTCAGGGGGCCAGCACCTATAAAGAGCCTAGGCCCCAACTTTCCAGGCCATATAAAGAGCACCAAAGAGCAAAGTCTGGGAACTTAAAAAAAAAATTAGGAAAGGAAGAAAGGATCTCTTTAAAGGCTATAATGCTTTGAAAACTGTGTTGGCAGTGTGGCATGACTGTTTCAAGTAGATAAAAGCTTGTCATTTTACCCCATCCTGGCATGACTGTGAAGCTGGCGAGGAAAGAGGAAGAAGGGCAAGTTCGGATGCAAGCTGGGTAGCTGGGACAGGTTGACTGAGGGACCGCTCTGGAGGTCTCTTGTGCCCAGCGTTGCCGGCTTCAGCCCAGTCACGTGTTTACAGCAACCAGAGTCCCTGCAAATGTGTGGCTGCCTGTGGTCAGGGCCTACTAGCACCATCAGCACACTCCCACCAGCGGCTTAGCTCCTCTCTGCCAGGCCAACTAAGAGTGCTTTGTCCTGGGTGGGACATAGGGACTGAGAGAGATGGGGGAAGACATAACACGCAGGAATGAAAATATGGATTTAGAGAAGGAACCAGTAAGTAGGAGACAGAAGTGAAATATAAAAACTGATCAGCTAGTACCAAATTTCTGTGAATTCTGGAAGCAGGGACAAATCTATTAGGAAGAGACTTCATGCTAAAATTAGGCTTGGGCCTCCAAATCAATCATGGAAAATTCCTCCCCTCCCTAAACTCGCTCACTACTGCAGACGAAGAACACATTCATCCTGAGGTATGGTCAAAAGACAGGAATTGAGGAAAGTTACAGATTCCTATCATTCATGTTAAAGTAAAAATCCCTGGGGAAGTAGTAAAGAGAAAGCAATACCTTATTCCTTTAGAATCCAGGGTAAATCTAAAACCAGTAATTAAAGGTCTTCTCCATGATGGGCTTCTTGAACTCTGTATGTCTCCCTATAACACTCCAATACTGCCTGTAAAGAAGCCAGATGGGTCATATCTGTTGGTGTAAGACCTTAGAGCTATTATTCAGATAGTCCAAACTACACACCCTGTTGTTCCCAATCCTTGTACTATTATCAGTAGGATCCCATACAGCCACCAGTGGTTTATAGTAATAGATTTAAAAGATGCCTTCTGGACTTGTCCATTAGCAGAGGACAGCTGGGACCTATTTGCTTTTAACTGGGAACACCATCACTCAATTTCTCAAAAACTATATATTAGATCTGTCTTCTGCCCTCTCTTCCCTCAGGACTCAAGGCATTCTAGCCCAGACTCCACCTCTTGAATTTCCAGTTCACCACCACCAGACTGGGGATCATGTCCTCATCAGGAGTTGGAAGAAGGGAAGCTCAAGCCCGCTTGGGAAGGATCTTAATTAGTGCTCTTAACAACTAAGACAGCAGTTCAGACTGCCAAGAAGGGCTGGACTCGTCAAACTCGAGTTAAGTGGGCACCATCCTTCCCAGAATCATGGACCACTATTCCAGGACCAACTCCTACCAAGCTAAGGCTAAAGTGGTTTAACCCTCTTATTCTGTATTTCTTTCCTTCCCCCTTCTATCACTAGTCCCCTTATCATTAATGTAACCAAGTCAAGCTCACCCCAAACTATTACCTTTGATGCTTGCCATGTTATACCCTGCGGAGATTTGTCAAGTCAAAAGCAACTCTCCACCTCAGAAAAGTGTCTCTGTCCTTCCTGGCTCTCCTCAGACTGGGCATTTGTTAACTGCGATAAGTTAGTTTGGGAAGAGTTTGACAAACATTCCAGTATGAACTGGGAATCTAGTCCTCTTAGAGCAGAGCTTC